ATTTAAATGAAAACTTAAACATTTTGATAAATCAAGTTATGATCTAATATTAAAAAACGAACTCATTTAAAAGTTTAAATTATTAAATCAAACTCAAGATATAATTTTATTCTCTAATACAGTAAAAAGTTAAATATATTCAAAACATATCTTGTGGTTTAAAAAAATGAAATAAAACTTTAATTTATATAAATCAAAATAAGAAACTTCATCAAAAGGTTAATTTTTTGTCGTTTACTAATAAACCATTAATGTCTCTTTCCTCATTTGCACTTTTCCTCTCTCGAATCTCGGTAGCAATCAACTCGAATTAATATGTTCTGAATTATTGCTCCTACTCTTTCTTTTTCTACAAAAGAATAAATGAGCAATCTTAGGAATTAGTTAATTAAAAACCCAACAGTTAGTGGGTATCACATTGGCTAATATTGATGAAAGAAGATTGCAAAGTCGTGACTATTAGAGTGCAGCTGCTGGACGATATAAAGTGTTTAGCAAATCATGTTTTCAAGAATCCAATGCTATAACCTGTAACGATAATGGTCGAATGGAAATTGCATGAATTCAAAACTGATTCAAGCATTATAAAGAAATTACAAAGAAAAAAATCTTATGTTCATAGAAGCATAGGAAGAGGAAGAGAAAAATGAATAGAGAGAAAAACTGGTTGGAAAGTGGGTAATAAAAGAAAAGAGTTTTTTTTTTTTTAAAAAAAAATTGAATGGACTGATTTGCCATGGGATTTAGGGAAATAAGGGGTGTGTTCTTGTCCAACAAAAAATGGATCCAATATTAACTTTCCCAAACAGTAAAAAGGTTAGTTAACAAAGGTTTTCTCTACTTATGAATTTTATATGTTTAAAATTTTTTTACTAAACACTCACTAAAAAAAACTATCTATTTGTGATCGATTTTTAGCCACAGTAATAAAAACCATCATTAAATTTATGAATTAGCGACGGTTTTGAGTGAACGGTCACAAATTTATTTAATATTATAATTGTTAGCTTCGGCTTTTAAAAAATCATCGTTAATTATCGAAATTAACAACGATCGATAACTTTCAAAATTGACATGGTTTTTAGCAACTTTTTTTGAAAATCGTCGCTAATAACCTTTGAAATTAGCGATGGTTTTAAAAAACCTTCACTAATTTCTTACGATGGGTAAAAATACGAAATTAAAATGAGAGAGGAGGGGGTGGATGGGTAAGCTAGCTCTCCATTTTATGGGCCTTTTAAGATTGTGAACTAGTGGGACATGTGCCGTACAAGCTCGGATGATAAAACGTAGAAGAGAAAAGAATTGTATTGATTTTATATGTCACTTTTACATTAGCGGGAGCCCTATTTATATACACACATGAAGAGCTATAGATAGTAAATGAGAGATTTGAGCCAAAATAGGAGCCTAAATAAAAGACTCATGATTTGTGGATTAACGGTACGCCCATGATTTCGGATCACGAAGATTGAGCATATCATTAACATCCCCCCCAAACTCAAGGCGGTAAGAACTCGGACAGTCGGAGTTTGCAAACAAGATCACAAAATCGATGATTCGGATGAGCTTTGGTGAATAGGTATGCGGTCCGATTTTGAGAGGAGATCGAAACAAGATGGATAGCGCCACGGTCGACATGATGGCGTACAAAGTGGCAATCAATCTCAATATGTTTTGTACGTTCATGAAAAACGTCATTGTGAGCAATTTGCATGGCACTACGATTGTCACAATAAAGTGATGTAGCGAAGTTTGTTGAATGCCCATATCTTGAAGCAACCAACGAAGCCATAGAAGCTCGAAAGTCGTGTACGCAAGAGCTCGATATTTAGCTTACGTACTAGAACGTGAAATAATAGTTTGCTTTTTGCTACGCCAAGATATAAGAGAGTCACCAAGGAAGAAACAATAACCGGTAGTAGAACGTCGATCGGTTGGATCACCGACCCAATTAGCATTAGAGTAAGCTCGTAAAACAAGAGATGAAGATCTAGAGTAATGAAGTCCATGAAATAAGGTGCCTTTGATGTAACGAAGAATGCGAAGAACATCGGCATAATGAGTGGTGTGAGGAGCCGTCATAAACCGACCGACAATATGAACCGCATATGCTATGTCCGGACGAGTAACGATAAGATAGATAAGACCGCCCACTAGTTGACGATAGAGAGTACTCATCACTAAGAGGAGAACCGTCGGGGGTTGAGAAATGAGCATTTGCCTCAATAGAAGTACTAGCAGCTTTATCATCGGTAAGTCCCGCACGAGAGATAAGATCACTAGCATATTTGGCTTGTGACAAGTAGTACCTTGAAGAATTAGAAGAAACTTCAAGACCTAGAAAATAACTTAGATGACCAAGATCTTTCATTTCAAACTCGTCGGTCGAGAAAAGCCTTCGGATGATTAATGCCATGTAGATCATCTCCAGGTAATAATCATATCATCAACATATAATAATAAAATAATATTCCCTTTGGTTGTTTTGCGAATAAAGAGTGCATGATCATAAGGGCTAGATTGAAAACCGATCCGGCGGATAGTGGAGCCGAATTTAGAGAACCAATCACGAGGGGCTTATTTGAGCCCATAGAAAGCCTTACGAAGACGACATACTTTATTTGGAGGGTGATCATAACCTAGAGGAGGTTGCATATAAACTTCTTCGTGAGATCACCATTGAGGAAGGCATTTTTCACATCTATCCGAAACAAAGACCAATGTTTAGCAGACTGCAATGGCAATAAGACTACGAACGAAGTAATTCGAGCCACTCGGAGCAAAAGTTTCTTCATAATCAATCCCATATTCCCGTGTAAAGCCTTTTACAACTAGGCGAGCTTTATATCTTTCCATAGAGCCAACCCATTTACAACCAACCGAGAGATTTGTCGGAAGGTAAATCAACCAAATCCCAAGTGCGTGTACTAATAAGAGCTCGAAGTTCTTCCGCCATTGCTTTACGCCAAAGTGGGTTAGTGCAAGCTTCACGATAAGTACGAGGTTTATACAAAGAAACAAGAGCAGAGTAACGGTGATAATCACGAAGAGTAACATTAGGTTGACTTACTCGAGAAGAACGTCCGAGTGGAAGATTAGAAGAAGATTCGGTATCCATTGGGGACGGAACAACAGGTATCCACATGCAAGTTAGATACATTAGAAGAGGTCGAAGGTTGGTCAACTCTGTTAGAGTAATGAGAATCTGCTGTAAAATCTTCGGGAAATAAAGGAAGAGTAGGATCGCTAAGAAAGGATGAGGTGGAGGAGACTCGAAACCGGGAGAGGGAGGAAAACATTTTGTGCTCCCAAAAAGTAACATGACAGGATATTCTAAGACGTTTGGAAATGGGATCCCAACATCCGTATCCTTTGTGTTCAATTTCATATCCTAAGAAACAATATAAACGAGCTCGTGGTTCTAATTTGGTATGCTCGTGAGATTGGAGAAGAACAAAACTAGCACAACCAAAGACTCGAAAGTTTGATAATCGGGAGCCCGACCATATAAACATTCAAAAGGTGAGATGTTACCTATGACGGGAGATGGTATACGGTTTATAGTGTATATTGCGAGTAAGAGTTGCTTCCCCTAAAAAATTTCGGGACAAGAAGAGGAAATAAGCAATGCCCGAACGAGTATCTAATATGTGTCTATGTTTTCTTTCTACATGACCATTTTGTTAGGAAGTACCTGGACAAGAACTTTGCACTATAGTGCCTTGTTGGGAAAAAAACTATAAAAGAGTGGATTCTCGATATTCTATAGCATTATCCGTATGAAAAATTTTGATATGACAAGAAAGCTGAGTTTTAACCATGTTAGCAAATTGGATATAAATAGTGGGTAACTCGGATCTATTTTTCATAAGATAAATCCAAGTATAATGGGAATAATCATCAATAAAAATGATAAAATATCATGATCCACCCATAGTAGGAGTAGGAGCGGGGCCCCAAATATCGAATAGATTAAATCAAAAGGGCGAGAAGAAAGAAAATCACTTATATTAAAGGGCAAAGCATGATGTTTGGAAAGTTGACATGAAACACAATCAAAATGTTCGATTTAACGGATCCTAAACAACCACCGAAATTAAAGGACTTAATCTAGAAGAGGAAATGTGACCAAGATGAGAATGCCATAAACTCGAAGGAACAACGAGCAACAATTTAAGGTGGAAGTTGGAGAGAGATTAGCTCAAACAGACGACCAACCTTACACCTTGTCCCAAGGATCTTTTCCGTCTGTGGATCCTGTACAACACAACCATGACTCGAAAAATGTAAGTCAATACCAAGTTCACATAATTATCCAACGAAATAAGATTAAGAGATAATTTAGGTACGTAAAAGGTATTTGGTAAAGACAATTGAGAAGTGGAAATATGACCTATGGTATTGACATGTAAGATAGAACTATGAGCGAGTATGAACAATAGGAGCAACGAGGAGGACAAGACTTAGAGGAAAATATAGTAGAGTCGGAGGTCATGTGATTACAACAAGCGAGAATCGAAAAACCAAGATTGAGAATTACCCGAAATGACGGATATGACATAAGAAGTAGGAATACCGGAGTCGAGTCTGTATTTGTTGAAGAATAGCTCGAAGGTCTCGAAGAGAAAATTTTGGAGAAGTAGACTCGAAATAGAACCCTCAATGGCGACGAGCAGCAGCAGATGATCTTATAGATTGAGAGGGCCAAGCATGAGATTTGGTCGAAGTACCTTGTCCGGATTTTTAGCTTGCGGACGATCGCACTCAAGCAATAATATGCCCGGGTTTCTTACAATATCCGCAAAAAGTTTTGTTACCGGAAATAGAAGTGGCAAGCACAACATCCGTAGAAGGCAAAGATCGTTCGGCACGAAGAGTGATGAGGTGAGTTTCCTCGGAAATTAGCTCTCTTATGATCGTGTCAAGTTTGGGTAGTGGACTGCGGTGGAGAAGAGCAACACAAATAGACTCAAACTCGGTTCGAGAGTCATAAGTAAATGCCAAACCCGTTGTCGATCACGAAGATTAGCATAGAGAAGAGCGAAGCCGTATCCGGCCAAGTAGGATCACAACTCGCTAATTGATCCCAAACAACTTGCAACTCGAAACATACCCATGAATAGTCTCATTGGGTTGTTGTTGCATACGGTGAAGACGACAATAAAGCTGAAATTGATGAACATCATCGGAGACCGCATAACGATGATGTAAAAAATCCCAAACTTCCTTAGCGAGTATCAAAACAACGAAATTCTAATTTGATGCTAGAAAGACAAGTATTGCGAAACCAAGTCAATATTTGATGATTTTTGCTATCCCACCGATCTAGTCTTTCGGTGAATTTAGCATCATTCTCATCCGTTGTTTTGGTGGGTTTAGAAATTTCACCAATAACAAATCGCCAAAGAAGACGACCTTTCAAAAAACTATACATTTCTTGAGCCCATAAATCATAGTTGGTTCCATAAAAAACAACGAAATAGGATGTGTAATAGTTTGAGGAGAATGAGAATTTTCATAAGTGGCCATGAGATAAAGAAATAGTGCGATGATGAATAAAATAATAATAATAAGAAGAATAATAATAAGAATAACCAATACTGAAAAGTAGTTTGTAAGGGTCTGAATCTTTTTGTTTTGGTTGCTCGGATTATACGAGAAGAAACCAAAACGATAAAAACCCTATCAAAACAAAAAGAAAAAAAATAGAGCATGGCTATGATACCATGATAAAACGTAGAAGAGAAAAGAATTGTATTGATTTTATATGTCACTTTTACATTAGCAAGAGCCCTATTTATATACACACATGAAGAGCTATATATAGTAAGTGAGAGATTTGAGCCAAAATAGGAGCCTAAATAAAAGACCCATGATTTGTGGATTAACGGTACGCCCATGATTTCTGGATCACGAAGATTGAGCATATCATTAACACTGGACTTCCGTCTTCGAGTAGAATTCACCTTGTCTTCCATGTATCAGCTCTAAAATAGAAGTTGGGAGAACCTTCCCAGGCAACGATCTAGCTTCCAGAGTTTTGTGAAGATGACTCTGCTTCTACACAGGTACTCGAGGCCATTTTGAAGGTCTATGGTCATGGCAGACGACAAGATTACCTAGTTCAATGGCAGAGCATAACTATCTCCAATGCTACATGGGTCAACCGAGCCTTTTTCTCACAGAGTTTTCCTAATTTCCCACTCCTTGAGGACAAGGGGAGTGGGACGAAAAGCTGTCATAGTCCTATATGGCAGGCCTCCTTGAAGCAGCCCAAGCCCAAAAAGCTACTGATTACAGTCCATGGAGTTCCGGCCATTGTTTTTTCTAGTTATTGTTCCAATCATTGTTTTCCTTTAGAATGGCTCACCTCTAATTGTTTTCAGCCTTAAGAATAGCTCTATCGACTGTCAGTTTATTTCCAAAAGAGCAGCAAGGCATTTTAGGATTTCCCTATTCCTCTGCTAATAACCGTTGTACAAGTCATATATATAAAGGACCCAAGCAACCCAATAAAGCAACCATTAAGCATTCAGACTAAACAAATTCTTGTGTAAGGAAGTTATCCTTTCTTGTGTGGACACTGATTCCAAAATAGCTCGAGGCAGGAAAAGAGGCCAAGGTCGAGGCACCGGCCTTGGGGAGTTCCAGGTACATAACATTATCAATGTCCTTCTTTTCTACCCATTTCTCTCTGTGGACTACCCTATCTAACTCTTCGTTTGCCTTCTCAAGGTTCTTTGGATTTTTCAAGACTTCAGACATTGCCTACTCAATTGTGACTGCTGAACTCTCAGTTTTGCCATTGATCAAGTCCTGGAGATGAAATACTATCATAGCATAAGCAAAGAGACTATAGAACGAAAGAAGATGATGAGCAATCACTTATGTATGTATATATATATATATAGAGAGAGAGAGAGAGAGAGAGAGATACACATTTTAAAGAAATTCTTGTGTGCAGAAAATTTCGTAACACTAAAAAAAAAAAAACAAAACAAAAAAAAATTGAAACTATCCAATCGGATGCTATGACATCTAACGTAATCCATAAATTTTTAGATCATACTAGATTCGATGGCACAAGTAGTGGTTTTTCTTTTTTGCTTTACATTTCTTTTGTTCGTATCCTATTTCTGCATGGTGTAAATGTAATATATCAAAGCTGGAGCACCAAATTGTTTCATACAGACAAAGAGTTTAGAACATACCTGTGTAAATACCTTGATTGCAGTTCTGTCCAGCTTGACCTCAGAGCTCTTTAGGCTGGAATAGGCATCCCCTCTTTCTCTCCGATTACTGGGTCCACCCACTAACCACACTTGCATGCTTAGCTTCTTTTAGAAGAAATTTAGTGTTTGGTTTGGCAAAGTATTCGAGATATCCTTGTAAGTTATTAAAATGAAAAGAACCAACTACTACATCCTAATTAAGATGTTTCATGATAAGTGCAGTAAAGTAAAATATTATGATGATTAAGGTGATTTAGTGAAGAAAAATAAATAGGACGAGAGGATTATTAAGGGTTAAGACTAAAAGATTTTTATATAAGAAGGGAAAACTTTTAACTTCATACTTTTTATCAAATTTATGATCCATTTTTTCCTATTTTTTCTAAACTTTGTTAGTGGAATCCTCCAAATTGAAATGCCATATAATATTTAAAAATCGATTTATGCTATCGATTTTTTTCCCGATATTTCGATATGTTCAGCATCATCCTTTTGTTAATAAAAACGCAGAATATAAAATCTGTTGATGGTAAATTAAAGATTTTAAAAGTTAACAAAAATGTATGGTAGGGTCTTACACTAATGGGAAAATAATGAGAACAATTTTTAGTGTCCACAGGGATAAATAAGTGTTCTTAGAAATTTGAAGGAACATTGTTTTGCTTTCAAGAGTTTGGACTTCAACAGTGGACATTATTCGGACTTTTAATTTTTTTTTCAAATATTTTCATCTCAAATTAAAAAAATAATTTTGTTTGGAATGAAAATAATAAATTTTAATTTTTTTAATAAATATGATTTTAAGATTCAAGTATATTGATAAAAAAATTTATATGATAAATATTTATGACTCTACCAACAAGTTGTTATGTTATTCCTCTTTAATCTGGTCATTTTTAAGTTGACTTTAATCCATCGCTATTGTCATCAATCCAATAAGCACCCTATATGATACATGATGCATAAAGAAAGCGATGGGAAAAAAGGATCAAATCACAGGATTTGGATTTCAATGAAAAACCGTGGCTTTCATAAAACCAATAGATACACATTTAGAATGATAATTCATAACTTCTGGTGCAGCATGCCATTCAGTATGTTTCAAGAAGCAGATTTAGAAATGTGCCAGGAATCTCAATACGGTCCAGGCTTTTGCAAAGAGCCTAAAGCTACAAGTTTTTGGGGACTATACATACGAGTTTACTTTGTATACATGAAGCGTCTTAGAAAACAAAAGTTAATTCAATGCATGGGCAAGTGATGATAGAAGTTGGGCCATGATTTAAAAGTTCATCTACACTTGGCAAGAATTTGTATGTGGTCTTAAGACCCATAGTACAAACTCAAATTTAAGTTCAACCTATTTCCCATCAACTTTGTTCTAAATAGCATAAAGACATGTTGGATCCCTATCCTTATTCAAAAATTTATAGCTCATATACAATCCTATGTTACAAATGCACCGACCATTATAGTGCATTATATAGACACAAAAATATAGGAATGGCCTATTCTCAGTACTGACTCCAAGTGTGAACGGCCTACTTAAAAGAGTACAGGGGGCAAGGTACGTACATGCCACTACTTTTATTTTGGCTTATATTGACACGCTATTTGGGACGCCTCTACATGTTACTCCTGGTCCTGAACTAGGAGCTAGTAATTCATATGGTAGCACCCCTGCACCAAACCGGTGCTTAAGACTAGGGTCAGCATTCCTTCTGTCAATCTCCTTCTCTATCTGCTGAATCTCAGCTGAGAACTCATAAAACGCCTCAATCATTTCAGCATCGCCTGACCATATTGACGGCTGTTGTCGTTCCCCTATGTACTCCTCGTCCGGCGAGTGGGTTGATAATGTGTCCACCACAGCCATAAATTTTGTTGCTTGCAACAAACTTGGCAAAGCTAATAGGAAATATTTTTGTGGATCAGCAAGGAAATTTGCATGCTCAGGGTCATTTTCTTCGGGGATTAATCTTCTCATCAGGGGCGGTCTATTAGGCACATAACCACTATAGGGGTACTGCCCAAAATTGAGTGCGGCGTGTTGTGCGGATGCAAGCCAAATGATGGTGGTCAGGATCGAGACAAGGTCATCGGTGGTGGCCAGCTTGGGCCACCAATCAGCATCACGAAGATCGAAATGACCTACGTTGATGGACTCGGAATACCATGCTTGTAGCTCCTTGTCCTCGCAGACTAGGCTTGAATTTGGATAATAACGCTCAACATAGGTACGGACCCAGTTCTCTATGGCCGACCAGATTAGTAGCCCATCTTGGGCATATGGGTAATCCTCAAGTAGAAGCTTTACACCATGTGGTTGTGTTGGGTCAGGCACTGCCATGCCCCTGCATCGTTTAGAAAGATCATTTAATATTAAGATCTAACCCATGGACCAAATAAACCGAACACAACTTCATTAGGAAAAAGAACCAATAGATGATTGTGGCTAGTAAATGTACCTGCGAATGAGATCGGCAGGGAGGCCTTCCTTGTCAAAACGCCAAGAGCTTTTGTAGGCTGCAGCACTAATCTCCATACAGTAGCGGCCGGGAGTGAAGCAAGACTCAATAACACCATCAGCATTGATTAAATTTTGGCGGGCTAAGGCATTGATCTCTAGTGTATATCTCATGTGTGGATCCAAAAGTTTGAATATGGGGTGCATTGCACTCAGCTGCCTGTGTGCTGCCAGTATAAATGGCTCCAGGGAAGCATGTGTACGTAACCTATAATCATCATAACATTTCCATTAATCACCCAACATCGAGAACTATATATCATCGCCCGAAAAAGCTTAATGGTCATCTTTTGATGACTTAAAAAGAGTTATTCAAACTTTTGTTCTTACCAGTGATTGACAAGTTGGTGAACACCAGCATCGTTGGAGCAAACATGAGACTTGGCGAGTTGCCAAATCCAATTGCTAGTGGCATCCGCAGGAGGTGTAATCACACGCTTTGATCGGGAATTTGGCCCTGCTGGTGGGAGGCTAAGCTCTATAGCGATGGGCTTAAGGGTCCCAAGAGGCGTCAAGAAAAATATGGTACGAGTTGCATATGCTTTTCTGCCATCAAGAGCATTCATCCGGTCCAAAAATGGAAGATAAACATCATGGTAATCAACTATAAACAATTTATTTTCCTTCAAGGCCTGCAAAAATCATAATAATAATATTTAGAGCAGACATGTTTAAAATAAACAAGCGAATTAAAAATAAGATCTAATAACCATATGATAGCAATTTTTCCCCTCAGGAAAAAAAACACCCATGATAATGCAAGTCTTTTTCAATATGCCTCTGATAGTGCATTACAAAAAGGAAAGCAGGAAATTTGTGATAATTACCTGCGAAACGGACAGGCCATTAAGATTGCCCAGAAGGTGTTCTTCTTTGAGAGCAGATTCTTGTGGGCCGTAAATTTCTGGATCAAGATTGCTTTTTGGTGGAAAAACCTTAAGCCTCTCAATGCTGACTGGGTTAACTCCTGAGACTGCTTGACGGGCAAATTCGTCATCTCTCAACCAGGCAAACTTGTCCCCTGCAATAGTGTGAATCATATGCTTGTAGATTAATCTTGGTTTTGATTAATCAATTAATTATGTTTTGATACTTATACATGTGAATTGTGTGTTTACAGGAAATCCACTTTTTACATAAACAACTGTGTCATAAAGGTATTTTAAACTCAAAAACACGTTTTCAATGCATCGAATGGCTCCCAAATTAGGCAGCTAACAGAGGGAAAGGGACAGGCACGGGTGAACTTTCTCTCTCTTGTAATCAAATGCTTGACACGAATATTCCTCCTTCAAAGAGCCATAAAAGCCAGACTATCTACCTTTTTCCCTTCTAAAATTCTAGAGTGTGCATGACTTGGATCCCACTAAGTGAAGGCAAATCAGTAGTGGGCTATCACAAAATTTCCATGTGAGTTTATTTATCTATTTTACTCTTTTTGGGGTTCTTTGGGTCATTGGTATTTTCATATTAGTATAATTTTACTGGCATAAATCTACTACGTCTCCGTGATCTGATTAAGAAAAAGTTATCCGCGATATAGCTACAAATTTCCTGATTCACGAATTGAACTCTAATGGCCAATGATTGAGTCCAGCCCCTTTAAGAGTCAAGTCAGTTCCCTTGCCATGCGAGTTTAACTAGTGAATCATACAATCAAAATTTATGTCTATATCTTTTTTTGATACTAAATGTAACCAGCCTTTATCCCCTATTGTATGGTCCAGAAGTCCCATGGTTCTCATATTCTTAAGCGAAAACAGGGGAATATAAAATGTGTAACCAAAAAAGATTGACTGATAAGAAAAAGAAAATATAGAAACTTTGACAGGAAATGTACTCACTGGAAAGGATCTTTGGGGTGTCATATTTGAGTAGTCCCTCACTAGACTCTTGTATCTTGGTGAACACTTTGGGCAGTGGTAGGTTATTCCAGATTTCATCTTGCAACCCTACTTTAAGAAGAAGCCCTTCTTTGTAGAGAATATCAATGTCTGAGAAGCCACCGAAGTCATGATTATCAGCAGAAATGCTGGCTTTCAGGGATGGAATTAGATTATGAAGCAC